TGCTCGTGATCGAGTTGGCAAGGAAAAAAGAATTAGTCCTCACAACTAACAAATTAGCTTATTTTGGGATAGCTAATCCCAAAATCGCTGTGGCAGCTATTAGTTGGTTGCCACTGACAAGCGTTAGTTGCCACAGACCCTTGTAGCACCAAACATTCAGACAACGATCTGAGAACGTTCTTTTGGTTCTCTGAAGGTTCCGTAAACGTTCTAAGAACGATATGTGCTACACGGGGAGTTAATTGCCACAGCGAAGCTGTCGCTGCAGGAGCTAATCGGTTCGTTCTGTCAACTAATTGGGTGTTTCGGTGTTTCGCTGTCAGAGCGAACCGATTGGCTCCTGCAGCGTCAGCTTCGTCTATCCCAAAATTATGTAATTTATTAGTTGTGACTACTAATTCTTTTTTTCCGTGCAGGCAATGGGCCTGAGCTATGAACGAGCAATGGTGCCGCGGTCGGTAACATAGGCGGGCGCTTGTTCTCATTGCTCGCTCGTTGCAGGCCTCGGTCTCTAGTGACCAAGCCGTCGAATCCTTGTTTAGAGCCCTAAAACGGGCTTGCATCGGTGTCTACCTGCTGGGCGGCCACAAGCGTCTGGTACACAGAGCGCGACATTCACTGGGAGTCAAGGAGTCACGAAAGTCACGACTTTTTGAACCCAATTTGGTGATTGCTGCTGGAGGAGCGACACCAGGCTCGTTTAGAGAAGCTTTTGCGACATTTTCGGTTGCGAATAAGACTTTACTTTCTCTTCGTGAACACGGCTCCATTAGAGCGATGTGGAGATACGTCCCGGAAACGTCGCTGTTCGGCCTCCTAAAAAGGGGACTCTAACTCGAACTCTAGCCTTTACAGTGTTTGTCGGAATTTCAATAGAGTGCGCCGCGCACCACTGTTTCTATGGTTCCTACCGTTAGGTCTTCGGAGTTCGGCCTCCTTCCCGCGTTCGCGTTGCGAGTTTGCAAACTCGTGGTCTCCTCTGGACTGCTTGAGTCTCGAGGGGGCCGCCTGGCGCACGGCGCCGCGTATTGGCGGTGCGCCACAGCGGCCGCAAAAGAGAAAGAACTTGTCGCGGGGAGAGAGGCCGCGGGACAAGAGCATCACCGCCGACCCCTCCCCCTGCTCTCGCCGAGGCCGCCATGCCCTGACGCTGCGAAATTGGCTAACAATGACCGGGAAGCCGAAAACAGGAGGGAACTGTCGTGTCGTTCGTCGGTGGGGACAGGTCGTGGAGTGGGAGGGAGGTTTGCAGAGGGGAGAGAAGAGGGGTTTGTGTCGAAACAGGGAGGGGGGGGGGGCTGTGTTTCAAGCCGATGAACAGCGTCGTCGACTACATCTCTAAAGCGCGGCATTTCCTCAATCCAGATAGAGTGGTTCGGTATGAGGAGGACTTGTGGAGAGGTGAGGGGGGGGGAAAGAGGGGTGGGGTTGCGAGTTGAGCAGACTACTGGCGCGCTATACAGTCAGCGGTCGAGTGGCGCTGAGGGCGCGAAATGTCCATTTCAGTGAAGAAAACGAAGGCCCCCATTGGGGAAGCAGAGTGGGGAAAGAGGGGAGGGGGAGGGGGGTCCGGTCGCGGCTGGCGGTCGTGTGAAGCGTAATGGAATGTGGACTGGAGAGGGGTGGTGCTGGTGTTCGTAAAAGCCCCCTCCACATCCAATCCGATCATCGTTGATGCATTTACGCCCCATGTCATCAGCGCGCGCTTTTAAGCCGCGGGGCAGCAGCCCGGCTGCCGCCCGGGTGGGTTCTGGTTCACCCCCTTTGGGAGCACTTTTAATGGGCACGTCTCTACAAGAAGAAGAAGAAGAAGAAGAAGAAGAAAGAGAAGTATGAAAAAGGAAACAGAAAGCGATTATAGAAACTTGACACTTTTTGGAAAGTTCCAGTAGGGAGTCTGGCTATCGACTCTGGCGTGGTGATAGTATTATCGTTTTCTAATTAAGACAGACCTGACGCGGTCGGCACCGGTGGCTAGGAAAGGTCAAAGGAGGGAGAACAAGACGGGGAGAGAGAGACACAGAGAAAGAGCAACGGACCGAGAGTATAAAGATGGTTAAGTGGGAGAGAATGAGAGAGGGGGGGACGGGCTGGTCGGGAGGTCGGGCCGGCCCGGTTCCTCGTGGGGAGCGCCTGCTGGTGGCGGGGTAGGCAGTCCCGCTGCGCACCGCCACTCGGCGGGCGAGTCCAGAGAGAGAGAGTCTCTTTGCGTCCCCCTTGTAAGTGGGGGGGGGCGGGCGAGTCCACCTCCTGTCGGCCGCTCTGCCTCAGTTCCTTCCTCTTCCTCTGCCGTAAAGTAGTATGGAGCCTGCTCTCTGCGCTGTGGC